GACATTCTCATGTTAGGAAAAAAATGCTTGGTTTATTCTTAAAAAAAAAAAACACATTTATCTATTTATCTACTTACTGATATTTGCTGTGATTTTTTCACTATTTTTTTAAAAGAATTTTTTGCTATAGGGTGCACGTGCTCATTGGAAAGACAGAGACAGAGAGACAGAAAGCGAGACACCCCCCCAGGGTGGATAGCCACACCGCAATCCCTTCTCCTCCACTCCCTTCTCAGGATCTTGGGCACGCGCGCGCGCGCACACACACACACACACACACACACGCCTGGAGTGAGTTTAAACTGCTGAGTCTGAGACTTGAACCATGGTCAACTACATGGGAGTCCAGTGACATACCCACTAGGCCATCTGCTGGTCCCAGGAATGCTTGGTTTATTCCGAAGGGAGACTCTCAGTAATGAAGATGGCACATTCTATTTTCTACACTCAACAGCAACAGACCGGGAAGCCTCGGATTTCAGAGCCTCGTTTCAGATCACGTTCTAAGGACTGCTTGGAGCTACATTTACAATGAGGTCATGATCGTGTTCAAATGACACAATCCCACCTGCAGGCCCTCTTAAACTGCAACTACTTCTTTCTTGGACTTACAGGGCCGTGATCCCTAAATCACAATCCTGAAACCCAAAGAGCTCCAAAGTCCCAATCCGTCCCCCTAAATTTCGTGCCAAAAATAATTTAGCAGCCAAACCGGACCTGAGCTGGTAGGAAGCTGTCTCCATCTTACCTGGGCCCACTTAGATCACTGTATCTTGCTGGAAAGTATGACTGCAGTAATTGGGGTGCTAATTTAACACTCACGCCACATCACCTTCCTAAAACTGGACGCGTTCCGAATTCAGAACACAGTTGATGAGTTATTACGCACAGGTGCATGTCCAAGCACTGCCCACTGTCCGAGCAGTGACACCTGGGCAGTAAGAGCAGCTGGCATCTACAGTCTGGATCTTACTACTCCCCAGTGAAAGGAGCAGGGCTGGGGAGAAGAGGGTGACCCAGGAGTAGGGCAGGGCAGCATGGGACGAGCCTGCTGCTACAGCGAGTTAAGTACTGGGAGAAAGAGAAAACCCATTTGGGATGGCTGTTTCAATGTTTTGCTATACGTGTACTTGCTGGAGACAGAAAAACACCGCCCAGGGGGACAACCATGCTGCAAGCCCGGCCCCTCCATTCTCCTCTCCAGGTTTTGGGCATGCACACACACGCACTCCGCATCTTTTTCAAGCCGCTGGGTTGAGAACCTGAACCACTCAGTCAGCCACGTGGGATCCAGCACCTTAACACACCACCACACCAGCTGGCCCCAGGATAGCATACGTTAAAGGGTACAAGAATTCAACTAAAGGAGCTCCCAATGGCCAAAGCTAGAAAAATTAAGTTTGCCATAGGGTGCATGCACCAGGTGAGAAATCAACCCCTGGGGGATGTCCTCACTGCAGTCCCTTCTCTTCTTTTCTCCTCAGGGTTCTGGGCACACATGCACCTACACTCAGTGTGATTTTAAGTCATTGGATCTGAGACTCAAACCAATCCATTACCTATGTGAGGTCCAGCACCTTAGCCACCATGCCGCTTGGCTAGCCCAGGCTCTAAGAATCCAAGCAACAGAATAAATACTAATATTGATCATAATCAAACCAGCTGCTGTAGTGGCTAAGGGGTTGGACCCCACAAGGCCGCATGCAATTCAAGTCCTGGCCTAAAAACTGCACCAGGGAAGGGCCTCGCGTCCCAGCAGGCAGACAGAGAAGGGGTTGCAGCGTGACCCCCCACGGCGCTCTCTCACCCCCACCTCTCCTAAAGCTCCGAAGCCCTAGAGCAAGGACACCCACTGCTGCTATGTGCACTTGTGCCATCAGTACGTTCCTTAGGAGAGAAAGTCGCGCTCACAGTGCAGTGCTGACCACAACCTAGCTGATGGAAATGCTCCGGGCCGGGCCGTCCAGCTGCACGCATGTGCCGGGAGGCAAGGGCGGCCCCGCCTCAGTTACCTAACGGACAGAGCTGCGGGAAGACGACCCCGCAGCAGCACGGCAGACTCTCCGGATAGGCACTCATGTGCCCGCTGTGCAGGTCAAAGGCTTGCTGGCCCGGGAGGCATCTGGCTTTGTCTCTAGCTCCAGGGAGGGGTCCTCAGACCCTGCTGAGCAGGACCTGCCATGGATCTGGGCTCGGGCAGCTCAGGCTGTGCTCACGGTGGGCGCAGGTCTTGGTGGGTGGGCGAGGGGAAGCTCATCTAACAGCTGAGCCTGTCAGAACGCTGGACAGCAGCCTCGCAGGATCCCAGCCATTCCGTGTGCTCCCTGCCAGAGGTGGCGCCGCTTCCCCTGGCTGGCCCTCCTGTCCCCTCACTGCGAATGCCAGCCCTCACTGCATTCCCAAGCCTTCCAGAGCGTCACCAAACCTGAGTGGGTTTGAGGACCCTCGCAACCTGTGGCCAGAGTCAGACGTGAGGGTGGGCTCGGACCCAAGTTCTGCAAAGGGCTTCAAAGCACCTATCTGAAGGTAAAAAGCCACTAAAGCAAGCAGGCAGCCCACAGTGGGGAAGCTCGGCAGGCACCGCCCAGCCACCACATGGGTCACCGAGCCTGTGGCACGTGGAACCCAGGCACGCTACAGTGGGAGGGTGCCTCACTCCAGTCCAACCACAAGAACACACAGGCAGACTCACACCGGGCAGCACAGTGACAGACCCGTCCTCCAGATGTATCGCGACAGGCAAGGAAAGGCTGAGGCCATCATGAACTGCGAGGGACGACCAAACGCAGGCGGGAGTCTGGCTGCAGCCTTGGAGGAACCTGGCGGAAAGCTGGGAGTCACTTACAGGACTGCAGCCCAGACAGGTCCCCAGAGCTGACGGGTGTGCTCTGGCTCTGTTCAGGACACAAGGCAGGCCAGAGGCAGGTGTCCCCGCCTGGGACGTGAAGCCCGTGTTGCACACAGGGGTCACTATCTGGGAGCTCGGCGTCACAGCAAACGCGACATCGGAGCACGTGCGTGACCAGGGTGGCTCATCTCACTGCCTCCCTCCTGGCTGCTCCAGACTTCGAGGTGGTCTTCCAAGACAGGGGGCGGGCACACGGCAAGCTTCCCCTCGAGGCAGGCCCCGGCTGCATGTGCGATCAAATGAAAAGGTGACGAAAGGGCATGCCAGAGGGCCAGGCCCGGCAGGGACCAGAGTCCAGCCTCCTGTAAGGCCTGTGAGAGGTTCCCAGCGGTGGGCGCTTCGGCGTTCCCCGATCACGATCCTGAGGCCAACAAGGTGGCGAACAGCGCCTTCCGCGGAATGCCACAGTAGATGAGCGAGGGGATGGCAGGGAGTGAGTGCCATCTTCCCGTAGCCCCTAAGGAGCCTGCAGATCCGGTCCCAGGTCGCCAATGGCTGCTGACGCCACAGAAGGGCAGGACACCAGGGCCAGGGCCACCTGGAAGAGCCATCCCTGAGAAGGAGCTTTCTCGACTCCAGTCTCGCCCTGAGAGAAGCCATTGGATCCAGCCTCTGGATGCCCATTACTGATGTGCAGCGAACACGAGAGACGGAAGACCCCACCCCATCATACGCCACACTGGGGCACATCTGCAAAACCCCAACCAGACCACTGGACAGGACAAACGGCCTCGTGTGCTCAGATGAGAACATGGGAGTGATGCAAGGGGAGCCACAGCCGCAAAACAGACAAAAAACGTGTCAACCACAGAAACGCAGGGACCTTGTTTGGATTCTGATTCGGACTGTTACAAAAACGTTCACAACAGGTGAGGCAACGCAGGTCTGAATGCTTGCTAGACACCGAGGTAAAGGAAATGCCGTGCACATTGAAGGTGAGAGCAGTGCGTGGCTACGGTCTAAAACGCACCCTTATCTTTTAAAGCTAAAAACTTAAATATCTACAAAGAGAAAGAAAACAACCAAGCCACCTCTACCGCTATTACTTCAACGCAACGAATGTTTGCAGCGTTCTTTCCTTCAGGTTGGAGAGTATCCACGAGGCTCAGTAAAGGTGTCTAGCTCCCTTCTGAGCCCCGTGTAGCACAAGGGGGCGAGGGTCCCAGCACACCCCCTCCTGGCTTCGCTGCAGGCCCCGTCTTGGTGTCTCCCCTACTGTG